AATACATAAGAATTGAGTGATATGAATGTAATTCTTTATTTTCTATATAGATAATAATTGAATAAACAAATAAACAAAGTCTTATCTTTTTTACATATTTGCCACCTAAAGCTTACATTTTATATTTTTATTGATCATATGTTTTATATCACATCAATTATGTCATTATTTTGATTTTTAAAGGCCAAATAAACATTTTCATGCAGATGTAAAGATTATGTGCATGTAAAAATTGGAGTTTAAATGTAAGATATGTAGATACGTAAGAATTTAGTGGTATGTTTAGAATAGTGGTATGCATGTAAAATCTTTATTTGCTATTTAGCGAGGTTTTTGGGCTTTGGAGCGCTTCCCAATCGGTCCTCCGGGACTCAGCATTGCATGCGCGGCGCACGTGTTATCGCCGTCCTTCGTACGATCGTGTCGAGCTTCCTAAAATTCGGACCCTCTGAAATTCATGACCCCAATCTCTCATTTTCTCCGATCGCTCCGACTTCGTAACTCGCGCTGCAATCGCCGGAAAGCCGCCGCGCCACCTCTGCGATACAGTCTTTCTGCTTCATTCAACTTTCTCCGGACGGCGGGAAGATGCCGCGAATCGATGATCGGCGGTGAGAGTGATCTCTTCTTCGATCGACGTTTAGGGTTTCATTTACCTGTCGTAGTATTATGCGGCGGTGACGATCTCGTGGGGACGGGGGTTCTAGGGTTTTTGTATGGTAAATATGATCAAACAGATATTCGGCAAGCTCCCGCGCAAACCCTCTTCCAAATCGTCCTCTAGCGACTCCCTTTCCGACGGAGTGATCGGCAGATCTGCGCCGGGTAGGAAGGACGGTTTCATTGGCTCCGCTGCCGCGCCGCAGTCTGGGCTAGTCAACGGTGTTGTGGTTCTAGCGGCGTCGTACGAGCCCCTCCCAAGCTTTCGAGACGTGCCCAGCTCCGAGAAACCTTTTCTGTTTCTACGGAAGCTGGGCATGTGTTCCGTGGTGTTTGACTTCTCTGACCCTACGAAGAACTCGCGGGAGAAGGAGGTGAAGCGACAGATGCTGCTTGAGCTCGTGGATTATGTTTCTACTGCCACGAATAAGTTTAGTGAGGCGGCGATGCAGGATGCCACGAAGATGGTGGCCGCCAATATTTTTAGAACGTTGTCCTATTCCACTGGCGGTGAGGGAATTAAGGTTGTAGAGGGCGTCGAAGCGGAGGAGGACGAGCCGGCAATGGAACCTGCCTGGCCCCATCTCCAGATCGTTTATGAATTCTTCCTCAGGTTCGTAGCTTCGTCGGAGACCGATGCGAAGATTGCAAAGCGCTATGTTGATCATTCCTTTATACTCCGCCTGCTGGATCTATGCGACTCCGAGGATCCAAGGGAGAGAGAGTACTTGAAGACAATTCTCCATCGGCTTTATGGGAAGTTCATGGTTCACCGGCCTTTTATTAGAAAGGCTATCAACAACATTTTCTACCGATTTATATTCGAGACGGAGAAGCACAATGGGATTGCGGAGCTACTTGAGATTCTAGGCAGTATTATCAATGGGTTTGCGCTGCCTCTAAAGGAGGAGCACAAATTGTTCCTTGTTCGGGCGTTGATTCCACTCCATAAGCCTAAGTGTCTTGCGCTTTACCACCAACAGCTGTCCTACTGCATTACACAGTTTGTGGAGAAGGACAACAAGCTAGCCGACACGGTCATTAGGGGGCTCTTGAAGTATTGGCCCCTTACCAATAGCTCAAAAGAGGTTATGTTCCTTGGGGAGCTGGAGGAGATTCTTGAGTTCACACAGGAGCCTGAATTTCAGAGGTGCATGGTGCCTCTCTTCCAACAGGTTGCTAGGTGCCTTAAAAGCTCACATTTTCAGGTATATCTCTTCTCATTGCATGAAACTGACTGAATATTTCAGCTTAAAATGTCTGTTACCCTCCAGCATTATTAGTTCACTTTTTAGATTCATTGTGATGTTGGTTTTTTAATTCCACCAGCATGCTTGATTTGCCTTTACTATTAAAAGCTCCTAACGAATCTGTATTGCTTTTTCTCTTCAATTTTATTTTATTGTGAAATATGGTTGCCATTTACTTGCTAGAACTTTTTCTGCCAAGTCAAGAACTTGACTATAATTCATACCATTTGCAAATTGGCAACTACCAATTACAGTGTTTCTGAATATTGGATTTACTGGACTTGTTTGAATTCATAACTCTCAAGTAATAATAGAATATCTAATATGTGCACCCGGTGCGAGCCATAAGAAATTAAATGGAAGTAATTTAGGCATTGCTATTTTATAGAAAATCAAGCTGTTATAGATCGAGAAATTAATCTACTTTTCTGGTCATTATTGTGATTGAGGATAATAGTATTGTTAATGGAAAAAGAAGAGGTTTAAGTCACATATTTTGTATATGGGAAGTTATATTGGGAAAATGTACTTTTAACACTATGATCGATACAAAAAACAGTTATTCATTCTAAATCATGTATGGAGGAAGAGGGAGAGAGCCCGGGAGCGTCTAAACCGCTATTGTTTTCCTTTGAAACATTTGATGAATTAGTAAATGGCACAAAAACAAATTAACACTTTCCATATGTAGTTTTATCCACGTGATTAAATAATTTCTTAAGTCATGTATTCTAGGATACTAATTGAATTGCTAGTAAGATGTTATGCATTCTATTAGTCTTATTGTGAGCTCTATAATACTTTCCCTTTTTTATTTTTCTAATATAAGCAGTGTACCATATTAGACTGTTAAAATAATTGGGTTATGTTTATTTTTTTTGGTTGGTAAATTAGATGAAAAAAATTAATTTCTGGAGCTAAAATTAGGTGATGGAAGTAGAGATGTATCTCAAGAGTATTTTGAAATAAGAGAATAGTGTGTTGGCATAAATATAAGTTTTAAAATATGGTAATTATACCTATAACTTTGTTGATTGGAGTCCTTGGGAATAAACAAGCATTGAAAACTAAGTTAACTGTTGAAGATAGACTTTAAGATGGATATATGGTAGAATGAGGAATGACCGAGTGAGAAATAATTGTATTGTAAATCAAAGAAAGGGACATATATTAAATTTCAATATATAGAAACAAAATGGAGAAAAGGGACAGGCCCCAGTTTAATATGATTAAATGTTATGCTATAAAAATGTTGCACCAATAATTTCCTTCTCATGTAGCACTCAATATTATTGAATGCAGAAAGCAGACTCAACAAATCAGATGCCAGATTGTCAAGATAAGCTAGTTGATGTTAGTCTGCGTTTCATAAAATTTAATCTGTGGAAATAAGACATGGCTTTTGAATTTTTGTTACGAAAGGTTTATGGTTGAACATTTGTTACAGTGTTGCATTTATTTGAGTAGATCAGGACTTTGATCTTTTCATTGATTTCCACTACGATATTTCTGTTGAAATTCTACTTTGGATGGATCTATTTCAAATTTATCTATCAAATATGCTCTCTTTCTGATTTAACATATTCATCTCTCCTAATTGGTGCTTAATTATTCATTGATTATGGTTTTACAAATTTAATATACTTTTGCACTAGCATTGATAGATTCAATTCAATTTTCAATTGTCTTTTCTTTTTATTACTCACCTATTCTTTTCTTGATCATCAAAAGTAGTTTTAGGGTTTCAGAAAATAAATTTTCAGAATGGTTCAATTGTTTGAAAGCTGTAAAGTACTTTCTTAGAGCTGTTTATGTAGCTTCTTACCTTTATTATCTAATTAATTGATTTAGTTATTTATAATAGTTAAGATTAGGAATTTGAAATGAATTTATTGAATTCATAATGATATTCATTTTGGTCATTCAATCAACTCATGTTTGTGTCAAAATAGCTTTTTATCGCTACTCACACTATACTTCAGACTTTAGTAATATGTTTTACTGTAGAGAACTACAAAATATAAATCACAGCACAACATATTAGAAGTCTACAATTCCAAACATTGCCTTAATCTACTCTAAATCAAGAAGTAAACTCTTGAGTGTGGTCCATATAGTTTTAAAGGCATAATTTATCAACTCATCCATGGACTTTTCTTTTCCTAAGATTTTCACTTGAACAGCCTTGTGCTAGGCTTAGTTCAAATCCTTTGAGATATTAAGAAAATTTACCATGCATTAGATAAATGTTCATGCAAAGATGTGATCTTCTTGAGCTTACTATTTATTAAAATTTATAGTTATGCTAGTGTAAAACACAAGTGTTGGGTGCATTGGTGCTGGCCTTAACTCAAATCGCTTATCCTAGTCTCATAGGATGGAAGTTGCTGCAATATCCTAATTATAATTCTTTCTTTTCATTCTTTTTTTGGGCTTTTTTAATAATCATAGTCTGCTTATCATTCTTTAAGAACCCTTGCTTGTCTGGTTTCAATTTAGTTAAGAAAAAAAATGTCAAATGATATATGAATTATTTTGAGTGGCTATTTTATTCCCAGACTATCTTATGTGTTCAATTTAGCATATTGTTTCTCAAATTTTATCTAAATTAACTGTCAAATTTGATCCAAGATAATCCTTTGAATTCTCTAATTGTTAAAAAATAGTTCAATAGAGGGACTATTCTGGATTATATTTGAGGATTTAGGGGTCAAAATTGATCACATTTATTGTCTGTGCTAAAATTACTCTTAAAATAGTCTGAACATCTTTTTGATCTCTTTCTTATTTAGTTAGTTTCATGTAATTTAGTCCTTAGTTATTGGGTGAAACTTGATTTAAAATTTGCCAAACTGCTTGCATGATTGCAATTTATATAAAAGTCCTTTATTTTTTGTAATGTCTACAATTATTTGGTTGTTTGAAAATACTTTGCTGTGATTCTGCCTCATAAGCTATGAAATGGAAGAGAAACTGCTAAGAACATGATGAACAGGCACCCGATCAAGGGCAGTCATGTTTGTTGTCTATCTTCTGTCGTTATTCAGTTTCCTCTACTTGTCACGAAATGCAATCCTGTATAATTTGCGTAAAATTATCGGTGAAGTTAGCTTCTTACAACTCAGTTATATATTAAAATTTAAGGTGCAGCCAATATTATATGTTGCCTTGTAAAGTCTTGACAGTTATAATTTTTCTTACGGAATATAATGTTGTTGGAAAAAAAGTGACTGTCAGAGAAATTTGGATTTCGGATTGCACCAAAAGTAATTTTCAGGTAGTTCACCCCTTTTTTAAGACGCCAAAAAGGGTGGAAGGGGTGCATGCCCATTTAAAGGTGTTTACTTTTGTATTGGCCATATCAATGAAAAACCTTTTTGTTAGATTTACTTTGAAGGATTGTCCATTTTACTGTCGGTTAAATTGTTTGACATAGCTCCTCCCGATATTAGTATCATTGATTTGTTGCTAGGGAATTGCTTTTTGATTTTTAAAAGCATAAGAAGCTTCTAATTACTTTTAGAGTACTGAAGTATCTTCGCTTTATAAGACATTGTATCTGAAAATTTAAATGACTATTTACAACGATATCTTTATGTCTGCAACCTGGAGATGACCAAGCTTAAGCTCTTAGGTTGGCGTTTACCAAGGACGTCTCAAATCAAGGCTTGGATATTCTATATATGAGAAAATGTTAATATCATCAGAATTGTTGAGGGCTTATGTCTGGTCTAGTTCAACAGGGTCATGTAGCTTTCACTTCAGGTGTTGTGTCAGATTTTTTGTATAGTTTAACGCACTTTCAAAAGTCCAGCGAGCTCACAATTTAAACCCGTGTTTTGACAGATGGTATTCTTTTCCAAAGTGGTTTTGCATGAGAACTTAGAAAATAGCTTTCATTAATTTCTTGCCAAGAAGAACCTTTTTCCAAAGTGGTTTTGCATGAGAACTTAGAAAATTGCTTTCATTAATTTCTTGCCAAGAAGAAATATATGGCTTTTGCCTTGTTTTGATATATAAGAAGTTTTTTCGCGAAAGAATTAATATCAGATCTGTAACATTTGTATAACTTTTCTTTTCTGGATGAAGCTAAATGGAAATTCAAATCAGTTGTTTTTGAATTTGAGTTATAAGTAATCTATCTGCTGTTAATGCAAATCAAGCGGTATATTCTATTTTTATATTTTATTTTCTTAAAATTTTTGAATTACGTCTGAATAACGGTTGACTTATCCAGTTATTCAAAATCCAGAAACTATTGAACTTCTTGAGCATTTTTAATTTGATCTCAAGTAGGGTGTAAAGGTGTAAAGATGTAAAGCAGCTGCACATAAACCCATGGAGTTTTTTTTTTTTAGTTCAAATTGTTAATTTCTTTAATGGTTCATGTTTGGTTAGTGCCTGCTAGTGTTTGGGTTTTTTTTCTTGGTGTGTGTGCACGCGCTAGGTTCATTATTGTTTGACCATTTTGTGAACATGAATAAAATCCATCAAAATAAAATCATTCAAGAGGAATTATAATTATTTCGAATAAAAAGATCATAATAATCAAACTCAAGGTCTCACCGTGCAAGGATAATACTTCATTTCTGTACGTCCAATCTCCATTTGGTATTGTGAACATGGTCTGACTTACATTATTTTCACGAGATCATGCATATAGATGTATTTTTGTAATAATATATATCTTAACGATTATTTGAAGTGTTGGATTCCGTGAGTGATTAAACATAGGTATTATGTTTACATTTGTGATGGGCTAAGCTGAAGCTGCATAAAAAGTCAAGCACAAGCTATTCACAAACATTGAGCTAGACAGACAACCATATAGCAAGTTAGCTGGAAGGTCAACGATAACTGCTAATGCTATCATAATTTTGGTATGTGAAATGGCTTAACTCAGTTGGAAAAATGTTGATTCTCACAAAAAATAATTAAAGGATTGATTTTTTCCATTC